GCACATAGTGCACCATATTTAGCTCACCCTGGAAGTACCAAGATGTATCATGACTTCAAAAAGTCGTTTTGGTGGAAAGGGATGAAGAAAGATGTAGCAGACTTTGTGAAGAAGTGTTTGGTCTGTCAGCAAGTTAAGGCCGAGCACAGAAGTCCATTAGGTTTGTTGCAGCCAATCGAGATACCTAAGTGGAAGTGGGAGGAGGTTACCATGGATTTTGTTACAGGACTACCTAAGTCATCAGAACAACATGACGCAATTTGGGTAGTAGTAGACAGGTTGACGAAAGTCGCTCATTTTATGCCTGTAACAATGACTATGTCGATGGACAAGTAAGCTGAAATTTATACTCGTGCAATTATTCGAATCCATGGAGTGCCTGTCACAATCATATCTGATCGAGATCCCAGATTCACTAGTAATTTTTGGGGAAGTTTGCATGAAGCAATGGGTACGCAGTTAAGTTTCAATTCAGCTTATCATCCAGAGACAGATGGCCAGTCAGAAAGGACGATCCAGACGCTTGAAGATATGCTCAGAGCTTGTATTCTAGATAGAGGTTCCAAGTGGGAGAAGTGGTTGCCATTAGTAGAGTTTGCTTACAACAACAGCTATCATTCGTCATTTGGGATGGCTCCATACGAAGCACTTTATGGTCGTAAATGTCGTTCGCCCCTTTATTGGGACGATGTTGGAGAAAAGCAAGTACTTGGTCCAAAGATGATCGAAGAAACTGTTGAGCAAGTAGCCTGGATTCGAGAAAGGCTCAAGACTGCTCAAAGTCGTCAGAAGTCTTCAGCTGATAAGCATAGACGAGAGATGAATTTTGAAGTTGGAGATAAAGTTTTCCTGAAGGTTCGACCCATGCGAGGGGTCATTCGTTTTGGAAGAAAAGGTAAGTTACATCCACGTTATATCGGTCCGTTTGAAGTTCTTGAAAGGGTTGGAGAAGTATCGTATCGATTAGCTTTGCCTCCTGAGTTGGCAAGTGTGCATAATGTATTTCACGTATCGATGTTACGTGCATATGTTTGCGATCCAGATCATGTTCTTCAGCACAATGAAATTCGAATTCAATCAGATTTGTCTTATGAGGAGCAACCAGTAGCGGTTTTGGATAGAGAGGTTCGTAGACTCAGAAAGCGGGATGTGCCTCTTGTTCGTATCAAATGGAATCGCCATGGAGAATCAGATGCGACTTTGGAGCGAGAAGCAGATATTAGAGCTCGATATCCAGATTTCGAGTTTTGAAATTTCTGGTAAGTATGATTTTAAATTTCATTATTTTAGTTTAAGTATTTCCGAGGACGAAAATAATTTTAAGGGGGGTAGATTGTAATATCCCAATCAGTTATTAAGTTATAAGTTATAAGTTTGACTTTAAGTTGAAAGTATTCTCGGTTAAAATTTTATTTAGTAATCGAGCCAGTTCATTCATTAGTTCCGGTTCGTTTACTTTTAGAAATGGATTTTATTAGTAGGGATTAATTATTTCGAGTAGTCTGATAAGTTTTATGATTAATTTGACATGAGTGTCTAAATTAATCATTTGAGTAAAATAATTTATTTAGACATTTTAGTCTATTTAAATTATTAAGAGAGAAATATGAAGGTTTTAAAATTTTTGGGTTTTCGGTTTTCGATTGTAGTCGGAATTTAAGTCCGATTTCACTTCGGAAAATAAATTAAATTATTTCTTTTCTATATTTTTAGTAGACTACAAGATAAGAAAAGTTTTTTAGCATTAAAAGGAAAAATGCCAAAAGAAAAAGAAGGAAATCTGAAATTGTCAGAATTTTCGATTTTACGGTAACTGTTCATTTTAAATCAGAATTAGGTTCCGTAAATTCTAGATTTTTTCTTATTTCACGAATTATATAATGCCAATCAGATGAGGATCACATTGTGGGGTATTTTTAAGCATTGACTATACATTAGGGAAGTTTA